CTTGATTTGACTCAATTTTTTTCTTATTTCAATAATCTTACCAAGTAAAATTTTCTTACTCCATTGGCAGAAACTTTTGACTTAATTTGAGTCAAATTTTCAGACTAACAAGACAAATAATCTTACACATTCTGAAAACAAGATGATTATTCTTACACAATCAGTTCTTGTTTAGTAAATCAGTCTCAAATCAAGAAGACTTTTTGGCTGGATATAATATTTTAAAACAGTAAGATGGACAGTTTTTGCAGTGTAGTGGATGTTGAAGAATGTTTTAGACCAGCTTTTAAAAAGGGAAGGAGGAAGAAAAGAGAAATCAGGAACAGACATTCATGTATCCAATGACAGCAGCCTCATCTGATTCTGTGACATGAGGTTTGCTTTCAGTCACCTGGAGCAGCTTCATATTTGATATCACTCCTTTCCACACAAGACGTTAAAAAAAATCCCTTCAGTCTCAAAAAGGCATTCAGCAGCAGTGTAAGAAAGACAGGAACTGAAAGCAAACACAATGTTACGTTTATCAGTCTCCTACCTGTAATGTCAGGCTTCTGTGGCATGAAGAACTGATAGAAGGTTGGCTCTGACAGGCCCTTGACATTGCGCGCCGTGATTTCCACCTCGTATCTCGTGTTCCACTGCAGCGGCTGCAGCATGGCGTAGTCGTTCGCTCCCGGAACCAGCTTGGTCATCCACTGCTCCTCTTTGTCCTAAAAGAGAGAGAGAGAAAAAAAGATGGAGAAGTAAAACTGTTTTTCTTGTTTCTTTTTGGTGGGCGAGCATCAACGGAGGCCTCAGACTGGTGATTTATTTGATAAACTGTTTAACTTTGKGGAGGGTGGTTTAATCCAGGCATTCTGAAAAGCCACCTGCACGGGTAAAAATAACAACTCGRCTTCCTTTTTTCACTCGCCTCTCCGTCAAGTCTTCTGGAAACAAAAGGTTGGAAACTGAAATGTTGAGCTGAGAGCTGAACAACGAAAGAATGCCAAATGTACCGGCACCTTTTCCCGCTGCGGTTAGGAGTCTTTTACAAAAGAAAGGTCTGGATTGAAGGGTGCATGACGCCGATGTTGGTGCTCACATGAACTCCCCCGTGGTGCTCACTCATCCACAGAGCAGTTACGTGTTCCTGATGCCTGAGATTACTGGGTTGTGAAGCACTTTTCTCCAGTTCTGGCATCCTGCTTTGTCTCTATAAGCTGACCTCCTGTCCTGACTGTCTTTTCAGCAGCATGCCCCTCTGCTCCCTGAAATTACAACTACTTTAGTCTTCTGATGCCTGCTTGGACACATTAGGAGCAGGAAAATGCAGAAAAAATCCAATCTTTCAGGTCAGTGTCGTTTACAGTTCTCTGCTTCGTGGTCTTGTCTCAGCCCCTCTCCTTAGCCTGTCCTTTTAACACACACGTGCGAGTGCACACTGTGAGTAACTGTTGGTGCTCTTATAAAAATTCTGAGTGAAACGTGGTTTGAAAAACAGATATCCGCTCGCACAACATTATTCATTTAGCCGCCGACGCACCGACTCAACTCAGTCGCCAGCGACCGAATCAATCTAGTGAGTCATGCTCGCTGCTCCACTGGGAGGACAAAGCGTTCTCAGTGTTGCACGCTGCGCAGCGATTGTGTCGAATACAAAGAAAACTCTATCAGTTTCACTTATTTTCTCATGCGAGAGAAATAAAAAAAGGCACGCTTGAAAGTGTAAGAAAGCGCTTCTTGCAAACTGAGCACCTTTATGTAGATCTAATGAAAAGGTAGCCGTTGTGCTGACTGATTCATTTATTTTCAACGGATTGAATGAAATCTTCACCTCCGATGATTTGTCACTTTACGTTGGGTCTTCGCTCTCCCTGACGCAGAAACGCTTCAAGCTCTGGGTTTTATTTTCCAGCTTCAAATCTGGGTCACATACAGTATGACACAAATTCAGAATTTTTCAAGTGCAGTTTTATGGAAAATGTCCTTTTAGTTTGGTCTTTGAAAATAATTGTGATCTAGAAGGGTTAGGCAGTGGTGCAACTGCAGTCACATCCTGGGAGTAAGGTTGCCAGATCTAATCCCAGTCAGGGACCTTTCTGGGTGGAGTTTGCATGTTCTCTCTGTGCAGGCGTGAGTTTTCTACAGGTTCTCTGGTACAACTGGCCTRGGAACGTGACTTGAGTATTTCTTTCCGCTGAAGTTCACGCATATAACACTTGTATTGACCAGATTCCAAAAATGTTATATTTTGTGGGATGTATGGCTGAAATAAACGACCTAAAATGATTAGGGTAAAAAATGATCTGAAAATAAGAAATACATATTTCTGGGAAAATACATTTCCCCTGTAGGTTTACCGCAAAAATAACCTACAGTCCACAAAAAAAATTTTCTCGTSGAAAAACTACTAGACAACATAATTTACTGTATTTTTGTGTGAACTGTACATTTGAAGTAAACCACTCAAAATTATTTGGTTACTTGGTTATTCTTCTATGCATATTTACCAGTGTTCCTCTGGAAAAACTACTAATATATTTTCCAGTGTTTCGCCACAGGTAAAATAACTTAACCATTTTTAGTAGTTTACTTCAAATGTACAGCTCATTCACAAAATATATTTTAACCCACTAATGCAGGGCTATTCAACTGGCGGCCCGTGGGCCACATCCGGCCCGCGAGTGACCAAAGTTCGGCCCGCCAATTGGTTTATTCATCTCTTCAGCCCAAACCCCCGGTTTTCTACTTTAATTACTCTAAGTTGTTTTAGTTAAACATAGACATGTTTGGTATGTACAGAAATGTCAGAATCTTGGCTACAATCTGATATAAACCATTTCTATAAACACTCAAGACAGGTAATACTACAAGCAGTTGAAGATAAAACTATGAAAGTGAAAATAAAATTGGTTTAAAAATTTGGCAAGTCAGATGTCAAAATATTTGGTGGTAAATAACAGACATAATATGTTTCTTTTTTTGTTTGTTTTATCAGCACTACATTTATTAAATAGGGTTCTGTATGTTTTCATGATTAAAWACAGCAAAATAAACTATTTCAAATGTAACAGATCTTTGTAGTACTTGGTTTATTTACATAACAACTTTAATTGCTGGATGTTCGGCCCCTGAGTTGTTGGTCTGCATTAACTGTGGCCCCCGAAGCAGTTGAATAGCCCTGCACTATTGTCAGTGTAAGCATGTGTTTTGTTACAAGGGTTTTAATCTACTAAGTCAAAAAGAAGTTGCTTCCAATAACCCAGCAGATGTGGCGAGCCTCAGATATCCCAGCTTTCCACCAGCCTTGAACGCAGCACTACACGTGCTAATCTTCTCAAGCTTTCTCAATCACATGCGAGCTGATCTGTGTCATCATGCAATCATGTCCTGTCGAAGTTTGGGTACGCACAAATCTTTTTGAGATTAATTGATCCCACTACCAAACCATCTTCACTAGAGCTTCTAGAAAGAAATGGACCAAAAATAAAACCACTACAAGAGCCAGAATCTTCCAAGCAACTCATCACTAAATTTAAACAAAGGACAGTTTATATTATTTATAAAACAAACTTGGCTGCAATACAACCAGCAGGACACACTGACTTGTCTGGTCACACTGTTTAAAAGAAATGTAAGTACACATCTGGTTCATTTAAGTAAAAGAACTACTCACAGTTTTGTACTTGACTATATACTCCACAATGGGCATCCCTCCATCATCCTGCTTGACCAGTCCCAGTCGGTAGGCCTTTCCCATCCCTCTCTGCCCATGGACTGCTGGTGGGCTCGGCTCTCCTGAGGGGGGGACAAAATGAGGCAAAAAAATAATATCTAAAACATTCTGTTTGTGTGTTTCTGTAAAAGAACATCAATCCCAAAGAGGAGAGCAGGCTGCAACATGAGGAATACGAATGAAGTCAAGGCAAGACAAATTTTTAGTCTGAGTTAAGAGTCTAGTTTTGATTCACGTCAACAGGTTTTTCTTTATTTGCTGTATTTTTTTTTCTATTTTCTTCAACAAACATTAACAGTAGCAACACTTTTCCCATGGCCTTGGCTAGAGTTTCTGCAGTCCTACAAGAATAAATCAAATACCTATCATAAACTCCCTGCAGCACATAATTTTTAATGCCCTGGTTTTTTTTTACATGAAAACAAGATTTTGACAGAATCTATTCCAAGCCTTGATAATCTAAATTCACATCACTGAACTGGGGAAAGATGGCAGCTATCTCCAGTGTAAATATGCCAGGGTTGAGTAATATTGCAAATAGGCCTCATTCCACGGAGCTGCTGAAGCTCCGAATAGATTTTTAGAGGCCGTAATGCATTGCGTATGTATTTCTGTAACACATTTGCATATTTTTATTCAATCAAAACCCAAACATTTAACACATTTCTGCTGCCTGAGTTTATAAAATACATGACACTTTTTGGCTTCCTGAAACTCATCTGTTAACTGCTGGGATGTGCCAATAACTAACAGTTAACACAGTCCAAAGGCTGTAAAACCATTAGAGTGATAGATTAAAGTCATAATGACTGACTTTCATTTCGTAAATGCACATGAAGGATCCAAGTTGGGTTCTTATTTTGAAGTATGTGTCATAAAAGCGGTGGCTGAAGGTATATTGGGGACAGACTTACGGATGGGTAGAGTCTGGAAGGTCTCCGTGTGGCTGAACTCTCCCTGACCTTTTCCGTTGACAGCTGCCACTCGAACCTCGTACGTCGTGTTGGGCTCCAGTCCTGTCAGGACGACTGTGGCTGCACACACAGAAGACAAATGCTCCCGTTSGTTAGAAAAATATGAATCGATCGCACGAAGAGATGAACAAATTGCTCAAAAACAGGACTTTTTTTCATGGTTTCTCTGAACAATTTTTATTTTTTTACGATGTATAAAAGGTGAAAGAGTAAGGAAGATACACAATTTTGTGTTTGCATTGATGTGCTGAAAAATATATCATGAATTCATTGTTCTCTATCAAAGTGTCCAATATCAGTTTTGCAAAGGATCAGATGATTGTGGCAGAGACACCATGCCAAACCTCAAAGTGTTGTGAGCTTTGCACTGACAGAAAAAAAAGGATGTTGTGGGGGGTTTTATGGTCCACAGTATGCATTACATGTTACTTTAACACTTTGTCACATTGTCCTCTGCCAAATTGAACCTTGACTTCCTTCAAACCCAGGAGTTGTCACTTTTGGCATTTTTGCATTGTAAAGGGCTCGACACACGGGAGGCGACGTCGCTCGCTCTCCATTCATTTCCTATGGAGTCTGTGCGGTGA